CTGACTCCACATGCACCCACCCCTTGCTGCCTTTGAGAGCAGAAGACCCGGCCAGCTCAGGGCTGTGGTAACCTCGGGCTGATTCCCCCATCACTGGCGAGAGGACCGCTCTGAAACTGTCCTGGGGCCTGCCCTGTGCCCCCCACGCACAGGGTGGGATCTCCAGGCTGGCTGGTAACCCAGGCAGCCTGGATTTGTAGTGGGGTGTTATGGCGGGGGGAGCATGTTATGGCACCCGTCAGCCCAAAGCTCAGAGCCCGGAGAGTCCCCACCAAGCGAGCCCAAGGGCTGGTCTGCGCTGCAGAGTGGGCTGACGCTGACCTAACTCTGCAGGTGTCTACACTTAAATTTCGCTTCCGCGGACGTAACTGCCCCTCTCCGCTGTCTTAACTCCACCTCCGCCAGCGGCGTAGTCTGTGTTGATGCCGTTAGGGCGACGCGGTGTCCGTGTAGGCTGAGCGGGTATTTCTATTGCCGGTAGGGTGACCAGATGTCCCAATTTTATAGGGACAGTCCCGATTTTGGGGTCTTTTTCTTATATAGGCTCCTATTACCCCCCCAACCCCTGTCCCGGTTTTTCACATTTGCTGTCTGCTCACCCTAATTGCCGGCCGTCCCTAGGGACGAACCGTGCGGAGCCAGTGTGTTGGCGTGAGCCGGGGAGGGGTCAGGCTCAGAGGGAGATGCCTTGTGTTCAGGGACAGTGGAGAAGCTTGAATAAGTGTCTGGGTAGTGTCAGCTGCTCCTGTTTCCCTCTCAGCTGCCGACTTCTGTAAGCACCGGACGGTTCTCAGCGGGGGAGGCCATGGTCCCATTGCTTTTGAAAACTCTGCCCTCCCCCTTTTTTCCTGCCTTAGGGCAAGTGCCTGGGGTGTGGAGAGGAGTGAGTGGTGGGTGGGGCCCCAGGGGAAGAGGGCGGGGCCTTAGGCAGAACCAGGGTGGGGCCTTGGTCTGGGCGCCAGTGGCCCCCTCCTACCCCACTTCTAGGGAGCTTCCGGCGTTCCTGTTTCCTAGGGGTGGCACTTGTGAGTGGACCATGCTAAGGGCTGGGAGAGCAGTAGTGTGAGGAAGGACTGGGGAGGGTTCCTGGCAGAGTGGGGAAGCAGAGGTCGGAGAGGCTTTCTGGCCGCAGAGGAGTGGGTGGCGTGGGAGGGCGTGCCCGGGAATCGGGGCGGGATCATCCTGGAATATGTTGCTGGCGTTGGGTGGAGTGCAAGGGGCTGGAATTGGGGATGGGGCAGCAGGAAGAGATTGCTTCACCCATCGTGGAAATGCAGCCAGCTCTAGGGTGGAGCATGGCAGTTGTTTAACATGCAGCAATGCTGTGCAACAACTCAGGCCCGGAAACGAAAGTGCGGGTCAGACCCGGCAGCGTGGAACGGCTCTGCTGGGGTTCCGCCAGGGCTGCCCCTGTCTTGTGAAAGGGGCCGTGGGATCATTACACAACGTAGGCAGCAAGTGGGACCAGAGTGGTGACTCTCCTTTCATGTTGCAATCCCTGATTTTCCCCAGGGCACAGTCTGGGTTGCTCCTGGTTCCTTCCTGTAAGGCTGATTGGTGGTGACTTCTCTGTAGAGTTTGAGAACACGCAAAGCGTGCGGGGAGGGCTGGGGAATGGAGAAGTGTACTTTCCATGTGAGTAGGGGAGAGCCATCCCCATGGGCACTGCCCCTTCCTGTGTTGTTTCACCAGCCTTGGTGCAGTGACACTAGGGATCCATCCGGCCCCTGGGAACGGATCCTCACCAGACGGCTGATGCGTGGACCCAGGTGAGGAGATGGCTGGTTAATGCCCAAGAGTCCGAGATCTCAGCCTGGGGATGCCTCTGCCCTTCTTAGTTGGCTGTTGCTCCCAGTGAGGGATTTAGAGACGCCGATTTCAGTGAAGAGGGCGGCTCGGTGGCTTGGAATGGGCTATGGGGGACCCTCAGCCCTGGCATCGCCCAGCTGGGCTAGTTAGATCACCAAAGCCAAGGCTGTTTGGTGGCCGGGGTCCAGTGAGTTTGGTGGAACCCAGCGTGGTTCTTCCTGACGCTCTCCCTTGTGGGCAGCTCCAGCGCTGGGCCGAGGGTTGTTTGGGCCGCTGCTCTCGGGTGAGACCTGGCCAAGGCTGGAGCACGTTGGCAGGGCGGCCGGGGGAGAAGCTTGACCTGCTCGTGTTGCTGGTGACTACTCCGCTGGCCGTCGTCCTGGGGAGTAAACTCAGGACCTGCGGTGTTAAGGCACGATGCCCATTTCAAGCGTATTTAATGTTCGTAGCCCACAAGTACCTGGCGGCCCCAAGCAAATCCCGGCCACGTTGTGCTAGGCGCTGGACAGACAGACAGGGCGAGAGAGGCTCTCCATGGACAAGATGGGGGCAGGAGAAACAGAGGCACAGAGAGAGGAAGTGATGTGCCAAGGGCAGAGCCAGGAAGAGGACCAGGTCGCCTGACCCCCACTCCCATGCCCAGGCCACGAAACCCCACTGCTTGGCGTACACAAAGCCTGCACCCTGTGCTTAACACCCCATCGTCCTCACGCTTGGCTCCCGTGCGGTACGATCAGCATCACCCACGGCCAACGCGCCATCGCCAGGACCCCCTTTGTGCCTTAGAAACACGCGCTGCCTCGTTGCATCAAAACCAGTCCAGTGCGGCTTGGCTTGGGTGTCCGATTCCAGTTGTTACTATAATGACTGTAGACCAATAATGCCTCAGACTGAGGGGTAGCTCGGCGGGGGAAGACTCTGTTTTGTGCCCTCTGAATTTGCACACTGTGTGTGTGTGTGTGTGTGTGTGTGTGTGTGTGTGTTGGAGGTTTTGTGGAGCAGGAGACAGGGTGTGGATCCTGTGTATTTCGGCCCCTAAAGGGACCCTACTCCCATAGACTGCACCTGGGGAAACTCCACCTCTCTCCGCTTCTCTCTTGCGGCTCTTTTGATCCACCCAGCCCCCAGTGTTGTGGCTCTTGAGGTGTCCCTGTGCCACCTGCTGGTTGCTGCAGACACACAGGCCACCTGCTAAAGAATCTGGTTGGCTGGCAGCCTGGGCAAGGCCAGCTTGTAAAGGGTTAAAGAGCCCTGGGGGCCGGGGGGGGCTCGGCTGGTCCTGACCCAAATAAAGGCTTCCCATCCCTCTTGGAGTTGCCGTGAAAGGCATGGCACATCCTTGAGCTGGGGCATGTCCGGGGCCATTGTCTCTCGCTCCTATTGTGCTCAGCCGCCCTCATTTCACAGCCCAGTCGGCAGGAGATGAGGATGTGGGGAGACGGCCGTTTGGCTGGAATTCAGTCAGGACACCGAGGCAGATGGCTACTAACATGCTGGCTTGGGAGGAGTGTTCTGTCCCGGCTGCTGAGTCTGGGGGGGGGACAGGACAGTAGTCATGTCCCTGCTGCTGGGATGGGGGGCAATGGGCTTGGATCACAAGGTCTCCTGTAAGGTATTATATACAAAGTGATAACACGCTGGTCCTGAAAGCACTGTGTGTGTATGAAGAGTTATAAATATGATCTAGAAAATTGTTTGTGTTTGACAAGCAATGCATAACCCAGCCTGCCCTAGACTGAGGAATGTGTATTTGCTTGTCCAGCCAGCCTGGCCGTCAGGCAGAGATCATGAAGTTACATTTACATGCAAGGTAAACAAAGTTCTCAGGAGATCAAGTGGGCGAAAAGGGACCACATAACAATCGTCGGGGGGGGGGGGGGGGATGCTGCACCCCAGGAAGTCTTCTTGCCTTTTGATGGAGGGTCAGTGGCCTTAGGGAAGAGAAGGTGAGAGGGAAAAGCCATCCATCTCTTGGGTGATCAAAGAAACCAGCCTTTGGATGCTGCAAGGGTGGCTTCTGGCTGGAAGAACCAGTCACACTGGAGAAGCTGCTGTAAGTGAGGAAACCATCTGGAACAAGAACTAGAGCTGGTTAAATTTTAGTCTTTAGAAGTGTACTTTCTACTGTTGGTTGCTTGTAGCCCTTTCTGTCTTTATTCCTTATACTTGGTATCACTTGTTCCTGTGTCCTGCTGTTAAATAAATCTGTTTTACTTTTACTATTCAGTGCCGTGATGGAAAGGCAGGGCATGTGAACCCCAGTTAACAGGCCACAGGGTATTGTCTCTTTAAAGGAGCAACATAGGTAATCACTTCTGGGAGTGTTCAGGAGGCGGGGCTGGGTGTCTCTGGGGAACTCGGGAGTTGGGGCTCGCCGTTTGTTACCAGCAAGGCCAGGTTTGGATTGGCTGGGTCCTGGTGAGTTTGCTGGCAAGGCAGATGAGCCAGCGCAGGGAAGGGGGTTGTCACACAGCTTAGCAGTAGCAAAACTCTACTGAGGGAGTGACAGTAAGTCACAATTCTGGGAACCCCAGCAGATCACCACAAAGTGGGTGTGTGTGTGTGTCCCTGTGTGCACGTACATGCGTGTATTTCTGTTGGCCTTTCCCCACTTCCTGCGAAGGTTTTAACCCGTTGGATACGCTTTATTCCACTTTGTACCTTTTATTAAACACAAATTACCCCAGTGCCACCAAGAGACACCCCCACTCCATACCCTCCCCAAACACCGCTCTAAGGTGAGCATTTCAATAGGGCTGAGGCTCCCAACTCTCACAGCCTAGGGGAGTTGGGCGCATCACACCCGTTAGGTGACTTTTGAAAATTCCACCCTCGGTCTCTACCCAGCGCCTAGCCCATGACAGCAGGACCAGCCTTTGATAGGGTGTCCCGGGGAGGCGCTCCTGCCCAGGACTGGCTTGCGAGAGGGTTGGGTGTCCGTCAGAGCGCAGGGCTGGCTCGGCTGTCTGCAGCACCACTCCGCTGAGGAGCGGCGTGTGCTTTATGGACATGGCAAGGGAACGACCCACGTGAGCAAGGCTGGGCTGGGGAAGGGCACGGAGTTAGGCCTTGCTCTGAGGTGGCCTGCTGGGATGGCCTGTCGTCCGCTGGATCGCGCAGGTGGCTGCGAGGAGGGGGGGGTTGTCCTAAGGGATCTCACCACCTCTCTCTATCTCTCTTGTGTCCTCCAGGTGTTGGTTCTCCTCGGGCAGGTAACATGGAGCAGCTGAACTGACCTGAGGAGCCGTCCCAGTGAGTGTCAATCTGTGTGGTGGGGGGGAGGGACAGGCGGTCACATTGGTGAGTCAATGGAAAGGTTTTGCACCTTGGGAGTTGTTTGCCCCTCATGCAGAACCTATGTGACTAAGGGGCAGAGCAAATGCAGAGCCCCTTCGAGAGGGAGAGCGCAGTGTGTTGCTCCCTGCGACGTTCTGCGTCTGCATGGAACCACCAAAGTCCAGACAGGCTCTAAAGGTACAGCCCCCCCGCTCCCCTACAGCACAGCGTACCGGCCACCCCACGGCCTCCTCCGGCCCCTGCAGGAGGTAGTTCTCACCCCCCTCGCTGGCTGCCTGCTGCAGCGTGTCCCGGCCAGTGGGTCAATGGCTGAGAGGGCAGAAGATGGCCAGCAAGGGCTGCTGCTGCGGCCCTGAGTCTGTGCGTGGGCAGGATTTCACAGAGGGTCTCTTCTCACTCGCTGGCTTCAACGGGGTTTGGTATTTCCTCCTCCTCCTCCTCCCCCGCCCCCACTCTCTCTGCCGTCCATCTAACCCAGGGCTGCCAGTGGCAGGTGTCTGGGATGGCTCTGTCGCTCCGCATTAAGAGACGCCAGCCTGCGCGCCCCCCGCATCCACCAATCTCCTGCCGCCGCCACCGCTCCGGGCACCAGCCTCCGCTGCTCAGCTCTGCCTCCGGAGCTCCCCGCGTGCACACAGTGCAGTTGTGCTCTCGGACTGACGGGCGGGCGGGGGGGAGACGCAGCCATGTTCCCTCTTACTTTCCTCCCCTCCCCCCAAAAGCAGGGAAAATAACAAGCATGCCCAGAGCCCACCCTCCAGCCAGCACCCCCTACCCCCCTGCCAAGAGATTCCCTCCTGCCAGGTCCCCGTCAGCCATGCCATCAAGGCCCTAAGACTGGCCGCTTGGGCAGGAGCACTGGGCCTTTCTCCAGCGTGCCCGGGGCTCGAGCTAGGGCAGGCCGCAGTGGGGCCCGGCGGCTGGGAGGTGTCTCCTTCCCCGGGAGCCCACTCGAGTGCAGCTGAGTCGCACGTTGAATGAAACACAGACTGAGCAGGGTCCCTCCTGGGCCTGTGGGTCTAAGGCGCTGGGCCCGGAGGACGATGCTACTTCAGCCGATCTCGTTGCTGGGCCGCACGTGGGCTGGATGTGATGTGACGCTCTTGCACGGGGATGTGGAGAGGCTGGGGAGGGAATGGGCCGTGCCGGCTACAGCGGGGGCCAGGATGCCTGCTGCACACTATCGGGTACAGCCAGCATGAGCGTCTGCTTCCCCTTCAGCGCCACCACAGCCGGAGACCTCAGCCGGGACGCAGGAGAAGGGCGGGGTCCTGCTTTCTTTGAAGTTGAATGGCCCGGCCCTTCCTGAGTTCCGCAAGGCAGGGCGTCCCCAGGCAGGCAGCGTCTCTAGATCTGACCCTGTGTCATGCCCCGGCCCGAGGCATGCATTGCTACCCGCGTGGCACAGGGTGTTGACTAGCGCAGGGAGCTCTCTGCCTCTGAAGCCGCTTTCTGGCTGATCTGGCCAGCAGAGAATCCCACTGCAGAGTCCAGACCTGGGCCCATCTGTGCTAGGAGCCAGGCCTGCGCTAGCCACGCTGGGGAGACTTTCCAGAAACGTCCCCCATGTAGACGAGGCCTCGGTGCTGAGCTCAGCCCAGCACATGTGGTTACAACCGAGCAGGCCCTTGGCAGCCACCCAGCAGCAGAGACGCCCCCGACTAGACGCAGGTTGGGAGCCGCAGCCTGACCACGGCTGCGCAGGGTTCTTCCTGTTTCCGTGGCTGCAGGGGAGGGCGCTCAGCTGAGCCTGCAGACGCTGTACAAACCAAGTCAGTATCTGCGTCGTTCTAGCAATGCACCTCGCTCCTGGCCTGCATCCCCTTGACGCCCTTCTCTGCCCATCCCAGGCTCCCCGTGCCTGCCTCTGCCCATGGGTCTCAGTCCTGGCCTGGCACAGTTCTCCTAATGCACCCACCGCCTCTCCTTCCCCCAGGCATGAGTCCGCCCACGCCTGACCTGCTGCTCCTTGCTCCTGCCCTATGCGGGAGGGAGCTGAGCCTCTCGAACGCCTCCGCTGGGGACCTGGGCCGGATCCGCAGCTGGTGCAAACTGCCGTCAGTGCTGATCTACACCAGCCCGTCTCTGCCCTTTGCCTGCTCCAGGGCAAAGTCCCGCGCTTTGTGGGAGAAACGCTGCAGCTGGCATGGGCTGCAGTCCCCGCAGAAGGGAGAGTGAATAATAGGGGCCGGCGACAAGCCGGGACCCTGGATGCAGCAGGGATCTCACCAGCCTTCCTGGGAATCCACCAGGATCCCCTGCCTTGCTTTGCCACAGCTCCATCAGGGCTGGCCTGGGGGCGGGGGGAGTGAATTTCTACCCGCTCTGCCAGACCCGTCACTAGAGTACCTGGGCACCAGCCATGCTGTGTGTTCGCCCCCAGCCCACTAGCTCCAGCTTCATGGATTAAAGGCATCCAGCCTGGCCTCCCACAGCCCAGCTCCCTGCCCCTGCTGGCCGGACTCCTGTGCCCTCCCTAACCCCCTGGCAGCTGGGCACACCTCTGTCCCCCTCCTCCTACACCTTGACCCACTGACCTTATTGCCAGGCAACCAGCATGTGGCAGATGGCGAGAGAAGGAAGCGGAGTTTGACAGCTGGGGAGGAGGGCGAAGTCAGTGAGCGCCCCATATCCCTCCCCCGCCCCCACACACACACCCATGGAGCTGTGTGGTCACACATGTGCTGTCACACGCAGCCAGACACACACACTCCCAGGCGGGAGAGGCACCAAGTTGCCCGCACGGGCAGCCATGTGCAAGGAAGAGGCGGGTGGAGACCGGCTGCATGGACCGTTGCTCTGCGGCAGCGCAGCAGGAAGGTGGGGCTCTCTGGCTGGGTGCATCTGGTGGGGCAGGAAGGGGGCATTGGTTTGCTTTGGCGAGGAGCAGTGGGGTGGGCTGCTGGGGGGATGGACTCACCGGGCTGCTGGCCAGTGCAGGGGGAGGGAGCAGTCCAGTTCCTGGCTGGGAGGATCGTGGTTCCGCTCCGAGTGATGGGTCCGTTCTAGTCCAGCAGCGCACCGGAGTCGCTGATGGGCAGCGGTGCACGGTCCGTGGCGTGTGCTAGCAGAGTTCCTGGAGGAAGGGCATGGTCTCTTTGCCCCGTGGCTGACCCCGCGCTCTCTCTCCTCCCCCTGCAGGCTTTGCCCAGGATGGGCTGTGTGTATTGCAAGGAGAAGGAGTCGAATAAAGGCCAGACAGAGAACATCGATGGCACGACCGGCTCGGCATCGAAATCCTGCTACGGCCCCGACCCGACGCAGCAGAATCCCTCCAGCAGCTTCACCCGCATCCCCGACTTTAACAACTTCCATAGCACGCCCGCCGGCGCCCCCGCCTTCATGGGCCCCGGCCTCTATCCCAACAGCACCTTGTGTGGAGGGGGGATCACAGGTCAGTCTCCGTGGTGCCCCTGCCGTGGGGCTCAAGTGGATGCAGCACCGGGCTGGGTTTCTATTCCCTGGCCTGCTGGGTGACCTGGCCCAATCACTTCCCTGCCCCGTGCCTCAGTTTCCCCTATCACCCTGCATCAATCCGACTGTGAGCTCTTCGGGGCAGGGGCAGTGCCTTGTGCGACGTGACCTCAAGCCACGACTGTAATACATAGAGTGACAGTGGCAGCTCACAGCAGCCTGCCCAGGCTCTCCTGCCCATGGCAGATTCCTCACTGCCCTGTCCCTGTGTCTCGCAGGCGGGGGCGTTACCCTCTTCATTGCCTTGTACGATTACGAAGCCCGGACGGAGGATGACCTGACGTTCCTGAAGGGGGAGAAATTCCACATTATCAACAATACGTGAGTGTCCCATTCGGGGCTGGGCCCCTCTCCTCCAGGAACCCTGCCCCCCTCCCCCCCACGACGAAGTGCAAACGCACCCGGGTCTGATGTTGGCTGGGGCTCCCCGCCTCACGCGGCCCTGCTCCGAGAGCAGCTTGGCTGGGGGATTTCACAGCCCATTGGCGTTTGCACCACAAGCCCAGCTAACCAGCAAGGCCGAGCTAAACCCACTGGGGACCGGGCGGGGGGCAGAGGTGACAAACCCAGGCCTGAGCCTGTTGCTTTCTGCGGAAGACCTTGCTCCCAGGTCTAAGCTGGCTGGCCCTGGTGGGGCAGGCTGGGAGCAGCTGAGGAGTGGCTCGTCCTCTGGCATGAATGCTGGATGCCACATGACGTGGGAGTGGGACAGAGGGGCTCAGCGGGGTCTCCAAGATGGGTTGCATGCCTGCCTTCGAGGGGCGGGGCTTCCTCGCAGACTCTCACCCCGTCTCTTTGGTTCCACAGCGAGGGCGACTGGTGGGAGGCGAGGTCCCTGAACACAGGGGCCACGGGCTACGTCCCCAGCAACTACGTGGCCCCGGTGGACTCCATCCAGGCGGAAGAGTGAGTAGGGCAGCCCTGGGCTGACTGGGGAACGGAGCCCATTTAACCGCCAGAGCCCGGTGTACTGGCTGGGGGCAGAGGAGGGAGCCAGTGACCCAGGGACGTCCAAGAGATGCTCCATCCCCTCCCCCGCCAGCACCCTTGGGGCATTGCAGACACCTAGCCAATCCCTCCCCGGCCCCCGACACACACACACACACACACACACACACACACACACAGGATCTGTACCAAGGCACCCCAGCTCTAGGAGTTGCCTCTCCATATCAAACCAGCTGGGTCACACGGTGGTAACCTGCTTCCAGCAGTGCCTGATGCTTCAGGTGGTGAAATCTCCCGTGATGCACCTTGCCGGCAAGTGGGAGGAGTTTCCTTCCTGACCTCTGTAATGTCATCTGATGCCCTGAAGCATGAGAGTGGATTACCCCTAGCTTAACCTAGATAAATATTGCTGTAGTACCTTCTGCTCCCAGATCCCCAAGCGCATTGCACCCATTAGTAAATTCATCCCTACAGCCCTGCTGGGAGGTAGGTAAGGTAAGTAAGGTTTATTATCCCCAGTTTGTAGAAGGGAAAATTGAGGCAGAGAGAGGATAAAAGGCTTCCATCCTGTGATCGGGCACCTGAACTCATATTTAATGGCAGGGACCAACGTTGCTGAGGCCAGATTTTTCAACTTGCCTAAGGTCACTCTGAGGGGCGGAGCCAGGAATAGAACCCAGGAGTTCTGACTCCCTGATTTTTGTTCTAAGTCTCAAACATACTGCCCCACCCAGTACCTCCTGTGCATGTGTGTACATCAGCTGCCCAGCTACCATATTCTGTCTATTTCAATTGCACCTAGAGGCCCCAGCCGAGATTAAGGCCCCACTATGCAGGGTGCTGTATGTACTGAAGTAAGAGAGCGTCCCGCCCCAGAGAAGCTGCAGAGAGACAAAGGCTGGGAGAACAGACGCTGCGTTCTCCCCATTTTACAGATGGGAGACTGAGGCTCCGGGAGAGTTGGTGATCTTCCCAAGTGCTCTCAGGAAGCCAGGAGCCGACGCAGCTCTCTGAGTCTCTCACGGCTGGGCCGTAACATCCTTCCCCTGGCCCTCTGTCTTCGTTTGAGAGTCCCAAATCCTTCCCTCCCCTTTCTGGATCCCCCGCGGGTGGGGCGTAGGTGAGCCGTGGCTGCCAGGTGCCCCCGGGCACGTTACTAACCCTCCCTCTCCTTGCCCTCCGTGCCAGGTGGTACTTTGGGAAGATGGGGCGAAAGGACGCTGAGAGGCAGCTGCTGTGTCAGGGCAACCCCCGAGGGACCTTCCTCATCCGTGAGAGCGAGACCACCAAAGGTAGCGGCCGCGCCCTTCAGCAACCCGGGGTGTGTGTGTGTGTGTGTATGGAGCGGGGGTGCTCTGGGAGAGGCAGCAGGGGCCAGGATGCTTCTCCACACCGGCAGCCAGCTGGGGGGATGCGCTTCCCAACACGCAGCAGCAGAGATTTCTTTTGCCCCCAGCCCCACGTGCCTGGGGAATAGCCCCCATCTGAATCCCCCGTGGCTCTCCCATACAGCAGCACCGTGCCCCCTGCTGGTGTCCACTAGCTGCTCCCACCACTCCCTGCCTGTGTCTGTCTCCGGCCCGACCCCTTTGCTGTCCCTCCCCAGGTGCCTACTCCCTGTCCATCCGGGACTGGGACGAGATGAAGGGCGACCACGTGAAGCACTATAAGATCCGGAAGCTGGATAACGGTGGCTATTACATCACCACGCGGGCCCAGTTCGAGACCATCCAGGAACTAGTCCACCATTACATAGGTAAGGGGAGGGCGAGCCAGGGCTGGGCAGGGATGGCACCAGAGGAGCGTGGCGTGCGGAGATGGGTTCAGCCAGAAGGCTCCATTGGGTCTTGGAGCCCCCAGGCCCTAGGGAGGTTGAGGGGGGCAGTTGTGGCGCTGGCCTGTGCAGACCGAAGTAGGGACGTCGGTGAGCTGGAGGGGGCCTGCTGCGTGTCTTGGAGATGCCGTTGGCCTTTCTGCACCCTGCCCAGCAGCTGCAATGAAATCCACCAGCCTGACCTTCCCGAGACACCTTCGGCCCATCCCCAGCCCTTGAGAGAAGCCCCCAAATCTGAGCTGGGGGGATCCCAGCCTGTGGCAGCCAGAGAAGCAGGGGCTTTGGCTCGGAGCGGAGCGGGAATGCCCCGGAGCGGGGGCTCTGGGAGACGTCTCCTTCCTGCGCGGGAGGAGCCCTTGGGGAACCTGTGCCCGGGTTGATGGGCCTCTGCGAATTCCTTGTGCTGCAATGAAACTCTCCCCGGCTGGAGCTGCCGAGCTCAGGCTCACCGCAGCCCCTCTCCTCCCACCGTCCCTCCCTCCTCGTCTAGCAGCACCCCCCACCCCCTGGCATCCTATACCAGCCAAAGCAGCGGGGGGTGGGGTGGCTCCTTTGGTCACTGCCCACCCCACCCCAGCACCGATCAGACGCCAGCCCGTGGGAGCAATGCACGGACCAAGGGGGTCAGACCAGTGAGGGCCCCCCAGCAACCGCGCGCCGGCTGGGAGACGGCCGAGCTCCGCAGTTGCCGTTCAGTGCTGACCAACGGGCCAGGTCCAGGACAGCTGGGAAACCCGCTGCTCGGGGCCGGACTGCCCAGGGAGTCAGGCCGGGCTCAGACTGGGGCAGCGCGAGCTTAGCAGGCCCCACTGGCGGGTAGAAGAGGCCCATCGGGTACAGAGCTCCGGCGGGCTCCTGCCCACGACTCGCACCCAAAGAGCTCCGCTGAACCCCCGCGCGATCCTCCCGATTGCAAAGCCCAGGTGTGACTCCTTAGGGGATCCCCTGCAACGAGCCCCCCAGCTCCTGCCCTCCGCTTTGGCTAGCGTTGCCACCTGCCGCTGCTTCTCCTGCAGGACAGGCCTGCTGCCCTGTGAGCAGGGCCCCGGCGTGCCCCCCTGTGTGGGGCAGGTGAGAGGCGTGGCTGTGCTGCCCCCTGGGGCTGGCAGGGATGTGTTTTCTCTCTCCCTGCCCTCGAGTGCCTCGTCTCTCCGTCTGTGCTCTCATCTCTCTTTCTTTCTTCTCGCTCCTTCCTTCCCTCGGCTCTGTCCGCAAGAGCGAGCTGCGGGCCTGTGCTGCCGCCTGGCCGTGCCGTGCCACAAGGGGATGCCCAAGCTGGCAGACCTGTCTGTCAAAACCAAAGACGTGTGGGAGATCCCGCGAGAGTCGCTGCAGCTGATCAAGAAACTGGGCAATGGGCAGTTTGGGGAAGTGTGGATGGGTAGGACTCTCCAGGCGAGCGGGGGGGCTGAGCCAGGAGGGGAGGGGAGAACCCCAGGCCCTGCGACCAGCCAGGGCGAGGGGAGGCACACCACCAACTGGATCCATCCAGGGCATCCCAGGGACACGGCGGGAAGAGACCAGGCTTGTTATTGGCGGGAGACTTCATGAGCCATCCGCAGGGTCTCTTGGTTAGCAATCTCAGCAGGACTGACTGAGCCCTGGGGACTGACGTCGCTTCTTACCCCGCGGGCTGGCCAGGCCTGGGGTGCGGGGGGGGGGCCACTTCCTTGCTGTGGATGCGTGGGAGGGAGGGGGGCTTCCCTCCCCAGACTCTCTCTAGCACGAGCGCCTCGCTCGCGCACATGGGAATTGGCTCAAGGAAACGTGCTGCTGAAAGCCATCAGGCCTGTTCCTTCTACACAGCAGGGGAGTTGCCATTGGATCCAGCCTAGTGCCACCCCTCACCTGGTGGTGGGGAGCTCCTGATCGCCTGCTCTGGGTTGCTCTGTCGGAGTCTAACCGCTCTCTGCTGGCTCTAGGGCCCGGGACAGTGAATCTGTGGAGGGAGGGAACAAATCAATCAATTAATCCAGACTCAGCCTGGCCTCCAAGCTGGCTGCATGGCACTGCCATTTGCTCCTGGTTCTGCCCCACTAAGCAGCCAGACCTGGCAGCCAGTAACTCCTCTCTGCGCACGTGTCTGGAGGGCGGGTCTGGGCAGCCATAACTGACCCGTCCTCTTGTCGGGGAGGTGGGGGCTGCAGGGCAGATCCAGGCCGGACCCATGTACCCACGGGGAGACCCTGCCCTGGCAGGACAAACCCACCTCTGCTATGATCCTACCCGTTGCATCCCGGGAACGCAGGTGAACAGCGCCAGCTGGTGGACAAGTCAGCCGGCGCCAAGGCAGGCGATCAATCCAAGCCTGGGCTCCCCTCCTCCGCCTCTCAGCCCTTGTGCATGTGCATGCCGAATTCATCCCATTCTCCACTCCCCCCTTCCTCTCTTCCACCTCCTCCCCATCATCCCATCCCCTGCAGAGTTCAATGACGGTCTGTGCCATCTACTAACCCGGGTATGCCCCAATATGAAGCCCCAGACTATGAGCCTGTCTAAAGACGCCTGGGAAATAACGCGGGAGTCCGTAAGCTTGGACAAGAAGCTTGGCATGGGCTGTTTCGGAGACGTGTGGATGGGTAAGGCGGGCACCGTGCAGCGGGAGGATGGGGCCGGGGCCAGAGGCTGATTATTGCAGGGCTGGGAGAGGCCGGGGAGTGGGAAGGAGGGTGGATCCATCTGGTCCCCACCAAACCCACAGGTTCTGATTATTTACATAGGGGCAGGACTGAGGGTCTCTGCCCGTCAGATGTGGGGAGGGGGTCTCAGGGAAGCCTCTCTGAAGTTTTCCAGCCCATATGGGAGTGGGGGAAGGGAATTCACCCCATTCCAAGTGGGGCTCCTACACTGGGGGGAAGCTCGGGGGGTGGGGGGACTTTCAGACCCCTGTCCCTGAAATGGGGTGAGACATGGGCACCCACTGCTTGTCCTGTGGGGGGCGGGGGCGTGAGACACAGGCATCCCTTGCCCATCCCATGGGGGAGCGGGGGCTGACCTGGGGATCTCTGCAGGGAAGGGGTGCGAGTGACTCAGGGTCTGCTACCTGCCCTGGGAGTGACAAGGGCTTCTCTACTGGGCTCTTCATCCTGGAGGCATTTCCCCCTCCCCCCCCCCCGCCCTCCCTGGAGCTGGCACTGACTGCCCCCCACCTGCATCGCCATTGCCGGTCGGGGCGGGCGCGCCGTGACACTGTCCCCCTTCCCGCTGGCTCCAGGCACGTGGAACGGCACCACCAAGGTGGCGGTGAAGACGCTGAAGCCGGGCACCATGTCCCCGGAGGCCTTCCTGGAGGAGGCCCAGATCATGAAGCGGCTCCGGCACGACAAGCTGGTGCAGCTCTACGCCGTGGTGTCGGAGGAGCCCATCTACATCGTCACCGAGTTCATGAGCCAGGGTGAGAACCGGGGGCGGCGGTGGGGGGGGGGATTGGCTGATTGGCTTCCTGCCCCAGCTGTGTCTGCACCAGGGCAAGGGACTTGGAGAACACAGCGACTTCTAGCCGGGGGTGGGGGGCAGGGCTGGAGGCTCACGTCCTGATGCTCCTTCTCCCCTCCCCAGGGAGTTTGCTGGATTTCCTGAAGGACGGGGATGGCCGGTTCTTGAAGCTGCCCCAGCTGGTGGACATGGCGGCCCAGGTACCAGGGGATGGGCCCCGGAGGGGGCGGGAAGCGGGAATCGCCAGGGCCGGAGAGCCAACAACTGGCCGGGGGAGGGGGCTCCTTGCAACCTGCCCAGCACAGCCATGTCCTGGGTGGGGAGGGGCTGGAACTAACCCCCAGGAGGTGAGGGAGGGTCTGCACCCCAGCCAGCCAGGGGGAGGGGGCGGAGAGGGGATGGGGGCTTGCCCAGGGCACCGGCGTTCTCACCACGCGCTCCTCGCCCACAGATCTCGGCCGGCATGGCCTACATCGAGCGGATGAACTATATCCACCGGGACTTGCGTGCCGCCAACATCCTGGTGGGTGACAACCTGGTGTGTAAGATCGCGGACTTCGGCCTGGCCCGCCTCATCGAGGACAACGAGTACACGGCACGCCAAGGTGGGCCTGGGCTCTCGGGCTGTGCCCAGGGCTGGGAGTGGCTGGGCTCTCCTTTGCCCCAGATGGACCATGGGGCAGAGTGACCTCCCCAACCCCATCCTCCCGCAGCACCCACGTGTCAACACTGGGGGAGGCAAAGGGGCCACGGATCCCCCGCTGACATCAGACCTGAGGAGCCCTGCGCCCTAGCTGGCGGTGGGCATGCTGCCCCAGGGGAACCTGCCCCCTGCGGTGGTCTCATCCCCTGCCCCATCTCATCTACCTCGTCTCCCCGCAGGTGCCAAGTTCCCCATCAAGTGGACGGCCCCGGAGGCTGCTCTCTATGGGAAGTTTACTATCAAGTCAGACGTGTGGTCCTTCGGTATCCTCCTGACGGAGCTCGTCACCAAGGGCCGCGTGCCCTACCCAGGTACAGCTGTCTAGCACCAGGAGGCAGCCGCTGGCTCTGCCCCCTCCTGTTGGGGTTGTGTGCGTTAGTGGGGGCTGCTGGGGCTTGTGCTGGTCCAGGGGAGGGAGCAGGGTCTAGTGGTTAGAGCAGCAGTCTAGGCATTGGGTCTATTCCCAGCTCTGGGAGGGGAGTGGTGTTTAGCAGGTAGCGCACTGGGGTCTATGACTGGCTCTGCCACTGGCCTGTGGGGTGATCCTGGGCAACTCACAGCCCCACTCTGTGCCTCAGTTTCCCCATCTGTAAAACGGGGATAATGTTGCTGACTCTGTTGGGAAGTGCCCGGAGAGCTACTGATGAGAAGCTCTATAGAGGAACTAGGCAGCATTAGTAGCGGTTAGAGCAGTGGGGCCTGCCGGTCAGGACTCCTGGGTTCTCTTCCCATCACTGACACTACTGATGTGACCACTTCCCTCATGCCTCAGCAGGGTGGGGCCATAGCAAGTCCCCCCTCCCCATGGAAATACCCATCATTAATGCCCGCAAAGCACCTCCTAGCCGCAGCCCCGACTCAGCCGCTGTCCTTGTTGCGCAGGCATGAATAACCGGGAGGTGCTGGAGCAGGTGGAGCGGGGGTACCGTATGCAGTGCCCCAGCAGCTGCCCCCCATCCTTGCACGAGTTGATGGTGCAGTGCTGGAAGAAGGAACCCGAGGAGCGCCCCACTTTCGAATATCTCCAGTCCTTCCTGGAAGACTATTTCACTGCCACAGAGCCTCAGTACCAGCCGGGGGACAACCAGTGAGCCCCGCTCTCTGAGCCGGCCAGCCGTGCCCAGGGCCCCTTCCCTGCAGCGGCTGCACCAGGCCAGGACTTCCCAGGCGGCATTGGGCCAGGACTTGCCATGCCAGCCGGCCCCAGGCCAGGACTTCCCTCTTTGTACAATCTGGGCCAGATCCCTTTTTTACAGTCCCCTTTTGGGGGTTTTGTTACTTTCCTGCCATCTGCGCTCCCCTCACTCTGCCCTGGAGGGGGGTGCTTTGCACAAATGCCTCCTATTCTAATGAGGATCTCAGCCCAGGGCCATTCTCGGGGGGGGGGGCCTGAGTGAGGCTGCCCTGCAGCCCCCCTGTTGGTCCCACATGGAGAAATCCCCTCCCCGCCCCTTTCCAACTGCCTTCAACACCTAGCTCTTAACCTGAGAGATGTGGGTTTTTTTTTTCTTCCCTGGGGAGCAATGAGGCCATGCTGCCCGCAGGGGCCAGCCCAGCCTGCAGGGAGCATCTGGGAGCGTCTCTCCAACCTCAGGGGGCCAATGTGGGTGCCCTGGGCTTCGGAGGTGGCAGTGGCCAGGCCCGCTGCACCTCAGTGGCCTTGGACGGGGCCAGGCCTATCGTCCCCCAACTGGATTGCAGCAGCTTTGGAGCGTGTCCGTCAGGCCGTTCTCTCCTGGGGCTGACGGTTGCGCCCCGTCTCCGGCCCCCCTGCTCTTGAGCGTCGTCCCGCTCCCCCCGCCCGGCTGCTGGTGCCCCCCTCCTGGAGTTGGTGCCGTCATCTGCCACAAGTGCCTGGGGCGGAGGAGAGAGTCTTTGACTCAGTATGGGGGGGCTGTAGGGTGCCCAGGCCACGGGATGCTCTCCACCGGCCATGCAAGGCCTGGATGGAGGCTGGGAGAGGGGATGGGTGGAAGGTAACTAGTCCCCCCTCCCTCTCGCAGCCCAGCCATGTGCCCTGACCCCTGGGAGGGGGGGACAGGTTTGGGGGGGGTGGGGGCTTTCCATCTCTAGGAGCCCATGTCTCACGTGGGGCCTTGGGGAGGCTGTTGCCCAGCCTGGGCCACCACTGTGCGCCCCTCGCTGCTAGTCCTAATGTGCTGTGGGGGCAGAAGCCCATTGCCGGCCGCTCCCCCAGCCAGTCCTCAAGCCTCCTCCAGTAGCATTACAAAGCCGGGGGGTCAGGAAGTGTCTCCCGGGTGGAGGCAGCACCCCCCCGCTGGCTCGTCTAATCATCTCCTGGGGCAGGGACTAGCACGTGCCACCCCGCCATTGGCGTACCGGAGGCCAGGGGCGTACTCTGGGCTCTTGGGGTGGCTGGATGTAGGGCCACCTGGGCGTGGCCCCTGTCCTGTGCCTCTGCCCAGGGGGCCTGTGGGGCAGATGGCTAGCACAGGTGAAGGACGGGGCGGAGGGGTGACCGAGTTGCCGATTTCTTTGCCGAGACGCTTGGCCCTTCACATGTTCCCCAGCCCCCCTGGCCATCCCCTGCTGACAGATGGAAGCCGAGCCCCATGTCTTCTCTGCCCTAGCACGGCGGTGGGGTGGGGGGAGCTAGATACTCCCATCTCCGTTCCCCATATGTGGCCCCCCGTTGAGCAGAGCGGCCCTGGGGCCTGCGCTGTGGCTCTGCCCTAGCAAGTGCACCAGCAGGGGGCGCTCCTCTCCCGCCTGCATGCCCCCGGGGCCTTGCACCCTTTTGTATGTAACTTTCCCCCAAGCTGTTTGTTTGTTTATTTATAAGACTAACAAATCCCTTTGTCCTCCTCCTGGGGTCCCAGTGCTCCCTGGGGCTCAGGGAGCCAGCTGGGGGGTGGGTGGAGGATATTCTGTGTTTTTCCTCTCTGTCCCCGCTTGTAATTCTTGCTTTTGATTCTTTTCCTTAGCCAGAGCCAAATTGTTAAAGCCATAAACTGCTGCCCAGGGGAGGGGAGCAGGCAGTGCCAAATGCTTCTTAAACTGGGGGGAACAACCCCAAGGCTGGGCTGGGGGGATTTAGCCCTGTGGGGGGCAGGTGTGTACTCTCTCTCTTCCCTCCCCCCCCCCCCCCGGGAATCCCCATGCCCTGTTCCCAGCAGAAGGCACTCCAGGGCAGGGAGGTCATTTCCCCTCCAGCCCCTGCATCTCATGCTAAGGGTGGAACGAGGCTCCACTCTGGACCAGCCTCGATGGAGGGCTGGGGGGACAGGAGCAGAATGTGAACGCGATTGGCGCGGGGGAAAGTGCCACCCACTCGGCCTGAGTCTCAGAGAGGCCAGAGGGTGTGGAGCCCCTCTGAGCCAGGCGCCGTGGTACCGGAGCCCTCTTTATTCCAGGGCGTAATTTATAACCATTCACTTTAATTCTCCTTTGATGACATCCAGCCAAGGGGGGCTCGCTCCCTGCCGGGGGGGGCTCTGGCCCTTGAGCGGGAGATGGCCACGGGGCCCCGAGCCAGCCTTTGGCCCAGCTCTCCGGCCGCCCAGCTCCAACACAGAGCGTTCGAGGCTCCCTGCCCCCGCTGCGATGTTTTTTTAAAATTGATCCTGTAAATAAAGAGAAATAAACCTTTCTAACAAGTGGGGCATGGCGTGGGTCCCTGGGGTCCCTGCGGGCGTACGGCGCTGCTGGGGATTGGAGCGGGGAGCTCCGAGCCCGCAGGGGTTAAAGGACCGGGCTGTCGGCTCTAGGGGCTCACGGTTAAGTCAGAGATTAAAATAGGTTGTGTTGCAGGAAAGGGATTCTGGCCTAAACCAGCCCCCCCGCCCCAGGGAGGCTCCGAGCTGGAAGGGCCTGGTTGAGAGGCAGCGGCTAAGCTGGGGAGGGATGCCCAGGGCTGCTGGCTGGCAGGCCCCATGGACATTGACAGAAGAGCCAAGCAGGTGCAGACCCAGCTGGAAGTGCAGAGGCTGGGGATGTGGCAATGCGGGTCTGAACTCCTCCTCTGCCCCGGCCTCCCCGTCCCCTTGCCCAAGGCCCGGAGCAGCCAGCCCGTTCCCCTCGGGTAAGGGAGCAGCTTGCAGGAGGTTCTGCGCCCAGAACGGCACAATTCGCTGCACCGGTAAGAGGGAAGCTGGGAGCGAGGTGGTCCCAGCTCCCGGCCTTTTCCCCCTCCTAGCGGCGGCTCCCACCACCACCGGTCCGCCACCATCTCCTCCGCTGCGCTCTGGCACCGGCTGCGGTTGCTGCCTGGCAGCTGGTGACTCAGAGGAGCAGGCCCTAAAACTTCTCTCGCCTCCCCCAACTGCCAGGGTGTTAAAATCCTCCCTAAAAACCATCTGCGGAGAGGCCATTTGGTGCAGAGACGCTTCCGAGGGAGCCGCGGCTAACACCAGCCCCTCGCGCCCCAGACAGCTGGGCTTTGCTGCTGGGGCGAGAGGGGGCCGGTTCTCAGGCTCGAATACAAATGGCTAGCGCCCCAGCTGAGAGCAGTGGGGGCTGGCGAAGGGAAAAGCCGGCCCCGTGCACTGCAAACAGCTGGACCACCTGGCTCCTAGCAGGCCCAAATGTGGTGGAGCATGTTCCATGCAGTTGCCTAACACGGCGGGAGCCACATGCATGCACAATGACGCATGCACTGTCAGGCAGGTTGGCGGGGCTGGTTAGCCGCTCTACCAGGGCTCCCGTGCTCCCAGCCAGAACCCGCTGCCCCTCTGAGCCGAGGGCTTTGCGTTCGCCGCAGGGGGAGATTTGGGGGGAAATCGATCTTGCACCGGTGGCGTTGCCAGCTCCTGCCGTCAGGGGAAGAGGCGAGACACTCAGCCGCTTGCTTTATTATTATTATTTTTTTAAATAAGTTTCTAGCCCTCCAGACTTTGGCAAAAATCTGTAACTCTCTCCCCTGGAACGCTCAAACACCAGCGAGGAAATAAAAAGACCCCCCATTTACTGTTCGTTAATGCCACGCTGGTTAAACCTAGGCCCTCCTTGGCTGGGCCATCGCCCTCCGCGCAGTGAACACCGATTTATGCCCGCTGGGCCAACGGAGGCCAAGACCCAGCGACCTCCCTTCTGGCAGGAGTCAACCCTGCGGCAGAGAGCGGCCCCTGTGCAACGCACGCTCGTGTGCGTTTGTGCCGGTGGGGGGAGAGTTGTGGAAGGCTACAGCCCCCCACCTGTTTGGCAGGAGGCTCCCCCTAGTGGCCCTACTCAGATTTGCACCATAAACGTTATTTTTCTAGCTGCCTCCTGGCACAGAGCAGCTGTTTGGTATTTTTGCTGTGGAAGTAAGGGAGGAAGTTCTAATCCTTGGAATTACACGGCCATCTTGTCGGGGGAGCTGTGCAGGCCCAGGGCTGAGCAAACAAGGCACCCTATAAATAACTCTCCTTGCGACCGCGGGGCCTCAGGCAGGGTCTGGCATTCGAAAGCACCCCTGGAAACGCTGGGTTTATCAGAGACAGGGCTAAGAGGCAGCGAATTCAGCAGCCATGGGGTCATCCCCAGCACGGGCAACCTCCTGCTGACCTGAGCTGTCAGGCTGGGATGTCTAAAAGACAGGAGGTAACTGATCTCAGCTACCCACAGCACGGATTGATCCCTCCCTTGCCTTCCTCTCTCTGGCAGCCTTCCCAGCAGCTCTCTGCCACAGTCCTTTCCCTGTTACGCCTCTACCTACCCCCTGTTTCCCTGTCACTCGCATCCCCTGCAGCCCCCCCAGGAGAAGGGTCATAATATATGGAGATATACCTATCTTATAGAACTAAAAGGGACCCCCCCACAAGTTCATCAAATCCAGCCCCCTGCCTTCACTAGCAGGACCAAGTACTGATTTTGGCCCAGATCCCTAAGTGGCCCCCTCAAGGATTGAACTCACCACCCTGGGTTTAGTAGGCCAATGCTCAAACCACTGAGCTCTCTCTCCCTCATGGAGGAGGCTGTAGCGGAAGCAAACGCAGTAGTAACGCGCAGGGCGGGGAGTGTCATGACTGCGCCGTGAGGGAGCTGGCGGCAGTTTGCTGACGCAGAGCAGGACCGAAGGGCGCTGCTCCCCGGTAGGAAGCTCTGAAGAGCCAGGGAGTGTCAAGGGCAGGGTAAGGGAAGCGCTAACGAATGCTGGTGCTTAGCAGTTACACCAGACTCAGGCCCTGTTCCTGCCCCCAGGCCAGGGCTCTGCCCACGAGAAGCAAGGCCAGGCCCCGGCCCAGCCTGTACGCTCGCTCTGGAATCACTGGCTCTCTCTGGCCCTGCTTAGACGGGGATTCAAAGTGGGATGGTCGCTGGCCACTGTAGACACAGCCCCTGCCTTACCACGGGCTAGGCTGGCTCCCTCAACGGCTCTGAAGGGATCACCTGGCGTGAGTTAACACCTGTCTCGTCCCCACTAGGCGTGGCAGCCCCCGTTTACCTCCACATGCTGACGCCACGTCTTAAGCCCCGCTCTGGCCAAGGCCTGTGGGCTCGGTGCAGCTCCCCACAGGAGGCTTCCTGCCGTGGGCTCGTTAGATTAATTCCCGACCTGCCTGTGAGGTCACGAGCTGGGGGTGAGCAGCGCCAGCAGCACCCGGAAACAGCTGCTCGCTGCCAGGGCATCCCGCGGGCCTTGCGCTGCTCCTCTCCGGGGGTGAGTCAGCCTACGGGTCTGGGCAGGGCTGGGGAGTATTTCTGGGTTTATTGGGCAGGGGGAGCAGGCCTGGGGCGTGTCCGTTGGGGGGTCCGGTAACCAGGCCTGGGGCGCTGAGCAGAGCCTGGTGGGGAGGATTGAAAAGGCCGAGACGTGTCACCTTCCATGGGGTGGCAGCATTTACCGTTCAGCGAAGGGGCCCTAGGTCCCCCGTCTCGAGGTGGGAGGGGAAAGGGTTAACCTGTTGTGCAGCCAGGCCTGGCTGCAGGGCCCAGCTGTGGCCGGTTAATTCATTCCCCAGCACAGGAGCAAAGGGTGCATCTGGCAGGATCAGCTGGGGGGGCTCTGGAGCGAGCTTGGCTGGCTATGGGGGTCGCTGGCTGGAGAAAGCCCAGGGGGACTTTGGCCTGGTTTTCAGCGCCTGTGCGGCTTTCAGCCTTCAATAGACACCCCTAGAAACCCCAGGCCCCGGCTCTGAAACGAGCAGGAATCAGGATCTTGTTCTGGTTTCTTTACACTGAAACCCACCTCTTTGACCCCTGGGCAGCCCTGCATGTGTAACCCACACGCCTCCGGGGTGGGGTGTGCTGGCCCAGCTAGTGGCACCAAGAGGACTTAGAGAGAATTAAATGAGTCTGCTCTACAGGCAGTTGGCTTTTAGCTCATCACTAGAGGCGCATGCACTAAGCTCCCAAGGTCCCAGGTTCGATCCCGACGACCGGCATCTATCATTATGCTTGGTCAATCCAGCTCTGACCCACTGGCCTCCTCCATGAGCCCTGGTCAGAGTTAGGAGAAGCCTTGAGTGCCACATGGGTTGTCACGGGTGGTGAAAATACGGACACAGACGAGACTCCCCCAGGCTGTAAGCAGGGGGTAGCGATTCACCCATACACCTCGGGTAACCCTGAAAAGTGTCTCAATGGGAGACCTCCTAGGAGTAACTGAGTAAAATGGGCTCCAATGCTCTTGTAGGGAGGGGCCGCCTGCCCCCCGACGTTCCTGCTGGGACAGCTCTTCTCACTGCCCCTTGGGCACACGGCTGCCTAGTTCCTAGGGGCATCGCTGTGGTGCTGGGCTGGGACTCTCTGCCCGGGGAGACGCCTCTCCCCACGGCTGCCCAACCCCACCGGTGAGCAGGCGCCCCCAGAGCGGCGTGGCCCCCTGGGCTGTGTTTGGCAAACAGACTTCCCCCGAGCCTGCCTGCGTCTCGCCCGCCTGCTTTCTGCCCGGTGGCAGCAGGGCAGCCGTGAGTTAGTGCAGGCAGGAGAGCGCGCTTTGCGCTGCGAAAGCCCAGGGACAGCAGGCACTGGGCGCGGCCCGGGAGAGACATGAAATCCCTGCAGCTTCCCAGCCTCGGCCCCTGCTTCCCGCCCAGCTCCCCAGGGCCAGCGTTGCCCAGGCAGGCTCCGAAAGCACCCAAGGGCAGCGCCTCGGTGATGGAACCAGGGCACGGCCTAGAGCCAAGGGGGCTGGGCTAGGAAAGCGGCTGGTCTTGCAAGGACAACTCGAAGGACTGCCCCGGTCCACGGCAGCAGTGGCCGTAGGAGTGAGGGGAACGGGCTGGCAAAGCCCAACGTGCCGGCTCTGCTGAGGGGCTGGAGTGCTGCAAACACACGCACACATGAGCACACGTCCAGGCAGACACAAGCCTGTGTACATGTCTGCAGGCTCTCTCTCAGAAGGTGTGTAAGCACAAGTGTGCACGAAGACACACTCACACGCACACTGGCGTTCCGACGTGCACCTCCCCACACTGCCGTACCTTCCTGTGTACACGACAGGTGAGCACACAGCGGCACTGTTGTTGTTCCTGACTTGCTGAGGGCCAGAAGTGTACTCGGAGTGTTAGGATACACGTGGGGGCACGTGGGCCCTGTGGGAAAGAGCTTCTCATCCAGGTTGTGCATACAGATGTGTGCCTGCCTCCGAGTAATCGTCACCATAGACACACATGGTTATGGGCACATGCAGTATACAGGCGCAGTCACATATTACACGTGTGCAGACACATTG